GGTGGTATCAAGTGTCAGTTGTAGAGAGATGCAGAGTTTTTGTGACAGCTTGTTCATCTGTAGCGTGATTGGCCTGTGTCACACAGGTAGCATCCACATTTTCAACTGAGTCTGCATTTGAAAACCTCAGTGCTCCCGTGGATATGAATTCATTGACTATGATGACACTCAGTGGGAAGTTTGGGGCCCATAGCTAGTGATACATACAGTTGTTCCCCCATCCCCAATTTTATATATAAGTAAATACTATCAAACTAGGCGTAAGTTTTGTTACGTTTTCATTCCTTATTATATCCCAATATGGCTAACATTTCTCAGTGGGGATGCTATAGTTACTATTGGTGCATAACAAATTATCCCAAAACATAGTAGATAATTTAAATGCCTTAAAACATTCTATTTTGTCCAGACTGGCTGGCTTGAACTTGCGGTGCTGGAAACAGGCAGTTGTGCAAAGGAGGGTCTCTGGGCTTCTCTGTGGCTGGGATGGTGTCCTCTCCTCTTTGCTTGTTGGGTGGTGCCCTGACTCTCTGCAGTGACCCCATATATCTGACAGTTGCTGAGCAGCTCCCTGGTGTGCTGACTTGGGCCCTGGCATTTTGGAGAAGCTTTCTCTCTCTCACACAGGCACTGGTGAATACATTTGCAGCGTAATTTTTATTTCTTGTGAGCTTGATTAGCATGATTTAGCTAATCATGCTAAGGTTGACTCAACCTTGAGATTGAGAAAACTCAAGGCCATATCCTGACACTTAGTAAATTTGCTGAGCTAAAGCCACACAGTGAGCCTTTATGGTAAACAGCCTTAGTCTTCCAAATACTATCTAATGTTATCATTGATTCCTCTCTGCTGCCTTAGGGGACATCATGCTTCCCCCTCCATTTGAAATCTGGGAATGTATTTGTTCAGCACATATTTTTTCTTGACACTTATATATGGGGGGTGAACTCAGGGGCTAGAGAGTGCGTGACATGCCCGTTTAGAGAAAAGGATCTCAGTCCTTGTGTAAGTTCCCTGGGGCTTCTGTAGCAAAGTACCACAAACTGGGCAGTTTTTAAAAATAGAAATTTATTCTCTCACAGTTCTGGAGGCCAGAGGTGTAAGATCAAGGTGTCCGCAGGCCACACTCCCCCTAAAGGCTCTAGGGGAGAACCCTTCCTCACCTCTTCTGGTGGCCCCAGGTGATGCTTTTGGCAGCATCACTCCAATCAATCTCTGCCTCTGTCTTCACGTGGCCTTTTCCTCTTCTGCCTCTTACGAGGACACTGTCATTGGATTTAGGGCCCACCCTAATCCAGGATGACCTCATCTTAAATAATTACAAAGACCTATTTTTTATGTATTTTTCCCCCATCACCATTTATCCCCCCATACCCTCTTCCACTGCCACCCACCCTTGCCTCTGCAGTCACCACAAAGACTTATTTTCAAATGAAGTCACATTCTGAGGTTCTGCGTGAATTTGGGTAGATACTGTTGAGCCCATTGCATCTCCTGAAATTTGAAAAGGTACCCAGGCTGCAGAGTCTTGGACTGTGGTAAATAAGGTGAATCAGCTATAGCACAGACTACGAGGCCCTGGTTTATGAGTGCAAGAGCTGAAAGAAGCATAAAGAAGCTTGGTTATAATCAAGGGATACCTTGTCTGGTGGCAGCAGTGATCACAATTATTTCCTCTGGTACGATCCCTGAAGGCATCATTCCAAACCGGGAACAAATCCCCACCCATTGGGTCTCCTGCCTCCTGTAATTGAGATCACCCCACAGTACTGCTCTCTGCAGATGGGGCTGGTTCCCACAGCCTCTGTTCCCTACTGGTGTCACCACCTGTCCCCTGGCCCAGGGCCCTCACAGCTTAGTAGCTTCCCATGGACACTGGTGATTCTTCCAAAGGCTGCTTTTCTCCGGTTGGGGTAGGCTTCTCTGCTATGGACTGCTCCACCCCAAATTACTCTGGTTACCACCTAAGTCATTGCCGTCTTGGCCATAGGAAGGCAGGCCTCCATGGTTGGGACACAGTGCTCTCCTGCCACGCCACCAACTATGGACAGGCCACTGACCTTATCTTAGTTAGGTTAACCTGTGACACATTCCTGTGTTGATTTCTTTCTGATCCTCCCATCTCAATCAGAGGGTAACGTACTCTGCCAGAGTAACACATTCTGGTTCCCCAAGCCACCCTCTTAGTTTCCATTCACTCATATGAGACCTTGGGGGACACATTTGCAAAGTAATCCCACCCCATAGGCAGAAACTGCCTGTATCACCTCTCACTGCCCCCTGGGCTCATGGACATCCCAGCTGTATTGGAGCAAATCATCTGAAACAGTGAGAAGGGAAGCCAAGTTGCCTTGGCTCCTTGCAGTGGGGTCAGATACACTTGGGTTCTAATTCCAGCTCAGCTACTCACAGGGTTCTTAACTTCCCTGAACCCACGTTCTGTAAATTGTAAAGTATCTGTAAATTGGGCCTAAAATGATATACTTTGAAAGGTTTTACTGTAAAAACTTAGAACTTCCAGCACCAGGCCAGTTCTCTGTGATTGTAGGCAGAATCCACAGTACGTGGATAACAAGTGGCTGTCTGATGGTACCGTGTAGATTCAGGAAAATGGCCCTTGAACATTGTGACCATAATAATGCTTCTCCCAACAGGCAGTGGTTTTCTGTAGAGCATTTCCCATTTTCCTGCCCTTTTTTCTTATCTCAAAGGAAGAACTATTCTTCCTTTCCAAAACTAACAATCTTTGTATTCTTGATTCCATCCCTTCCCATCTACGTCAGAACTTATTTACACGTTTAATCTCTTTATCTCTGTTGGCTTTTCCCCTCAACAAACTTGAGTGGCGCCTTTGCTTAGAAACAGCCTTCTCTCAGCTCCCCTTGTAACCTCCTTCAGCTTCACACTTCTCGAACACTTCTAAAATTCATCAATTCAACTAATACCTGCATGTCGGGTACCATGCATGTTGGGTACCATGACGGATGACGGGCAGAGACAACACTACCAGTTCTGCTTTTCTGTCTCAAGCAAGATAGTGGCCATATCCTTAGCAGGTTCTGATCTGGCCATTGCCCAACCCTTGTCTCTCACACGGCGCCCGTTGGTCTCTGATCTCGACTCACCAGCTTCATTTCACTGTTGTCAACAGCCCCAAGTTCTCTCCCATTATATGGAGGAAACGTGCTTTACCTAGTTACTTCCTCTGTCTCCTTCACATCCCAGGTCAAGCATCATTTCCTCGGGGAAACCTTCATGCCCCCTTCTCTCCCCATTTGGGACAGAATCCTCTTTTACATCCTGGTAGATTCATCAGTCCCTTTGTTTAGAACACTGACTCAGTTTCTAATTCTGCATTTATGGGTGTAATTAGTTGACTGTCTTTCCACTCTGCCCTAAGCTCCGTCGTGGCAGGGGCTGTGACAGTTTTCACTCATTATTCTGTGCATAGTCCCAGTATCGGACCTCTCTGGTGGGAGGAAGGGAGGGAGAGAGTGTCTTGCAGGAGCTGGTCAGTTAGAAGAAAACCTTATATGCTCTAATGGTTGGAGCAGAGTATGATAATGGAGTTATACCGAGTGTATTAGGAGGGCACAGAATCCAGCAGTTAGCTCATAAGGGTGTGGGTGCAGGTGTGAAGTCATCAGCAAACACCTCCAAAAAGATGAGTAGGCATTTGCTATGCAAATGAGGGAGAAAATGGGATTCGGGTGGAGGGAAGGGCTGTGAAAGAAAAGGCAAGTAAGGTTGGTGTGGCTGGAATGAAGGGAGGGAGTGGAGAGGGGCTGGAAGTTGGGACACAGGTAATGGAGGGCTCTGCCCACTTCCTGTGGAATTTGTGCATGTCTGGAAAGAGCCATAGATGGGTTTTAAGTAGGAAACAGTATGACAGATTTGCATTTTAAAAAGACTTCTTTTGGTGACTGGAACTCTCACACGTGACTGGTAGAATTATAATACAGCGTAGCCACTCTGAAAAGCTATTGGGGAGTATCTTATAAAGTTAAACATACACCTATCCTGTGAACTGGCAGTTCTACTCTCAGATATTTACCTAAAATTGAAAATGTACATCCAAAACAGACTTACACAGAAATGTTCATGACAGCTTTTTCATAAGAGCCCAAACTAGAAACAATTCAATTTTCCACAAGAAGTGAATGAAAAAATAAACTGTGGTATTTCCATATAATCTGGTGCTCTTCAGCCACGTAAAGGAGCAAAGTACTGATTAATGCAGACGCCTAGATGAAACTCAAAGACATTATGTCAAACTAAAGAATCCAGACACATACTCCACACAGTATGATTCCATTTATATACAGTTTAAGAGCAAGCAAAGCTGATCTCTGGGAATAAAGGTGAGGAGCCTAGTGACTGGGTCCTCACTGAGAGACCCATCCCAAGGAGGAGGAGTGGAAAAATATATGAGATTTTTTTTTTTTTAAACATATCTTTATTGATTTCAGAGAAAGGAGAGGAGAGGGAGAGAGAGATAGAAACATCAATGATGAGAGAGTCATTGATCGAGCCCACAACCTGGGCACGTGCCCTGACCGGGAATCGAACCCTGATCGCCTGGATCCCAGGCCGACGCGCAACCGCTGAGCCACGCCCGACCAGGCAATTTTTGAGACAGCCCTTGTACGTGAGATTCCTAAAGCTGAAATATAAAATTACCCTGGCTTTCTTAGGCATGTGTAATAGAAAGAGCTTGCGGATTACAAGTCAGAAAGCCTGGGGTCCATCCAGCCTGGCTCTTCCACCATCTATATGTGACACAGAAAAGTCACTTTGCCACTCTGAACCTGTTTTTTCCTCTCTCAGAGAGAAATTCTGCCTATTGTCCCCCAGGAGATAATCATAGGAATCTGGTCAGCATTAACGTGAGGAAAAGTGCTCCACGGAGGAAAGTACTGAGGAAATCCTCCTTCCTCTTAGGATGATCTTGGTCTGGCATCTGAGTGTAATAAATTCCTATTCAATTATTTGTTTTCAGGGTACCATATGTGTACGCCTGGTGGAACTCACACTCGGAAATGCTGATGACAGGCGTCAAGACAGCTGAGCCCCACTAGACACCAAGAAAGTCCATGGCTCTGGCTGCGTCTCTCAACATGAGCAACCCACAGTAAGTAGCCCTGGGATCTGCTCCCTGGGGGTGCTGAGTTGGAACTCAGAGTCAGAACTGTGGGTAAACAGTAGCTCCTTCCCCAGCCCTGTAGTGATGGAGGAGTTCCACGTGGTTTTGTCCTTGAGCCATACATTAAAATGACTTGCTAAAATCTGCTTTTTCTCTGAGTTGCCTCACTGAAGTCATCTCATTTTTTTAATTCAAAAAAGCAGAGGAATTCTGCAGTCCAAAACGGTTGCTTGACCCTCTCAGGTGTGTGGGGTTCACTACATATGTATTGTTAAATTCGGTGTTTTCTCTTGCTAAAAGAAAACAAAAAGCAAACAACAAAAAAATCACCCTGTTGTTATCAGTCTCCCAGGAGACAAGGGTCTTCCAATGCAGGCAACCACTACACATTTTCTTTAGCAGGAGGCCACAGGCAAGGGGGAAGCCTTTCAAAAGCAAACCTCAAGGCAAGATTAGGAAGTGCTTAAGGTGAATTAATAAACAGGAATTGCAAGGAAAGTTAGAAATCATTACCGGGTTTCTGAAAGCAGGCTTCAGGGAGAATGGTTCACAAACCTGAGATGAGACGTGGACCTAATGTTACCAAGCACTAGCGAAGTGGTCAGTTGTTTTGTGGTTGCAGCTTACTGGCAGAAATACCAAGGTGAGAATAGCACTCCTTCTTTTTCACTGCTCTGCCCTGGCCTGTCCAGCTAGGGGCTGGCTGCTGTCACCTGGAGCATGAACCTGCTGTTGCACAGCAGGGCCATGTGACAGGCAACTACAGAACCTCAGTAGAATACAGCAGTAAGTGCTCATTCCTTCATGTCTGGGGTAGCCAGCTAGACAGCTCTACCAGTCCTGGCTGTCAGCTGATCTAGGTGAGAGTGGACTCTGCTCCGTGTGTCCCTAATCCCCCCTGAGCTGGGCTGCTCACCTTCTAATGGGGATATCTCAGGGACAGCAGCATAACAGAAATTCACAAGTGCCTTTTTGTGCCTCTGCTTGTGTCATGGCTGCTAATTAATATCCCATTGACCAAAACGAGTCACACGACTGAACGCAGACCCAAGGATTTGGAAATGTTCTCTTCATTTGATGGGAGGAGCTGCAGAGTCACATGGCAAAGGGAGGGTGAAGAATGGAGCCATTAATACATGTTGTCCACCATCCAGTTCTTATCCAAGATCCAGGTGTACTCTCAATAGTCAGTCTGTGACCTGTGGGACCTTAACTCCCCCCAGAGGAGGCTTCATCTCCTGCTGAGATGCACGTGTGACCTGAAATAGAGCTGGGCCACTGTGACCACTGGCAGGAGGGAACAAAGGGCAGGAAAGTCAGGAAGGCAGAAGTAGCTTATTCCATGCTTCTCAGAGCCGAATATTGTTAACCTCAGTAATTTATCCAGCCACCCAGGAATACCCCATCTGTCAGAAAACTCTATGTATTGAATTCATAATTTATAGTTTCCTTAGTTCAAAAGGAAAGAATAAATTCAACCCAGCACCTACTTTTTTGACAACATCTGGAGGAGCTGGGATACCCCCGTAAACATCCACACTGTTATTTCAATTATTGAGAAACACAGAGGCCTCCCATCCTGTGGCTGTTCTGTCTGAGGACCTTGAGTCATTTTGTAAATGTCACACAGCCATGAGCACTCTTGCCCGTGCTCGACTGGGAGCAAAACAGAGGTTAAAACAGGCCTACAAAAGAGAATTGGGTATCGGAAATTACTTGGTGAATTCAGGTAGTTTAGGCAGCTAACTTGTGGTGCTCAAATAAAATTTCCACTTTTTCCTCAATTATCTGGATAATTCAAGCAAAAGAGAAGTAGGTGGGTTTAGGGCTAAACTTCCTGGATAACTGTCACTGAGTATTATTGGTTAGATTTCAGCGGTGGTTGGAAAAGAGGAACTTTAGAATTCAGAGCTCCTCACCCAGGTGTAGGGACTTGTCATTCTGATGCATCGTCCCTCTTTTTCTTGGGGAGGGCATAGTGATTTGCTCGTGAGGGATGACTGCCCTGTTGCCTTCCTCCACAACTCAGGCCTGCCACAGGAGGAGGAATTTCTGAAGTTGAGATCATCTCCCAACAAGTAGAGGAGGAAACCAAGAGCATTGCTCCTGGGCAGCTGGTGAACTTTGCCTATCGGGACTTGCCCCTGGCTGCAGTCGACCTCTCCACGGCAGGCTCGCAGCTCCTGTCAAATCTGGATGAAGATTACCAAAGAGAAGGGTAGGTGCAGGGACTGTCTCTGGCATAACTCCCTGGGTTTCTGTGATCCCCTCCCAGGAGGGACACAGAGGTTAGATATGCTGAGTAGGGAGAGACCGGATGTTCCCATCAGGCCACCCAGGCCCCTTTGTCTTCGGACACTGTTTCCTCAGAAAAAGGCTTTGGGCTTAGAAATTACCAGCCGTTGCTAGACACAGCCTCTTACATAGCATTGGCTTGCAAGTCAGTGAATCATAAAATTTAAGGACTGATGAGCTCCATAAGGGCTCACCCAACCCCCCTCTGCACAGTGGGAATCTGGAGACCCACAGGGATCAGGGACCCACCCAAGGTCACAGAGCCCATAAGGAATGGACTTGGACTGCACTCCCCTTGGTCTGGAAAGGGGGCGAGGGGGAAGCGCTCTGCATGTGGTAACTTGCCGAGTATGTTTGAGGATTTAGCAGCAGTGATTTGGGAAGTTTGCTGCCCACTTTTCAGTAAGGACACTTAAGAAGTTCTGGTCCCTGTTTCAAAGGTGTGGCCCCTATCTCCTCCTCCTTAGCTTGTCAATCAGATTGGACGCCTTTGTTCCCAGTTAATATCTCGTTACCTACTCTGTCTTGCAAATGTACTTTCTGAAGGTGAATGGTAGTGTTAGAACTGGATGGGGCAGAGGAGATGCACAGGTTTGAAGACCAGAGGAGGGCAGGCACAGTGCTAGGGTCACACGGCAGGTCAGACTTTCCCCAGCCCACCTTGCTGTTCCAAGACACAGAAATTTAAACATTGACTAGAAACTTTGGAGCCACTTCTGGGCCACTCTTCTTTCTCAGGGACCTGTAAATATTTTGGAACACGCTGGCTGCTTTGAGTATAAAAATGAAGGGTTGCTGGGTTATTTTAGAAGTTAATGAGAAGTGTTGACTAGAGTTAAATGTTCAGAGCTTGGATCCCTTATGCTTGTTTTCCAAGGGGGCTCCCCCTTTCCCGAGAGAAATTGTCCAACAATTGTGAAACCATACACCTGCGAAAATGTGACCCAGTGGCTTTCTCTGAAAATATAATTTTCTCCAAGTGTTGTGCATAGATTCAGCAGGATATTCGGGAAAAAAGGAGAGGCAAGCAGGTGAGAGAGAGAGAGTTAGGGATGCCTAGCAGTGGTGGGCCACCCTGAGCACTGTCAGCACCCAGGTAGGTGTCCACCAGCTTGAAGGCTGGACTGGAGTTCCTGAGACCTCTAAGCCAGGGCTGGCTTCATGTCTGTGTGGCCTGTGCAGTTGCTGGGTTTGATGCTGTGCTGCTGCCACCTGGAAATTTTGAATAATTTTTTGATGAGGTGCCATGCATTTTTTCTGGGCTCCGCAAATTATGTAGCTGGTGGGTCCTTCCCAGAGTACCAGGTCATGATGTCGCTGCACTCTGGTGGTCTAAAGCAGTAGTGCAGCCTCATAATGCCTCTGGCCGTCCAGGTTTCTCCCATCTAGAAGGCCTTGAAGGATGATGGTTGGGGCAAGATCCACATCTGTAGCCTGTGGGCGTCCTGCACCGTGGAAGCCACACCCTAGCAGAATGGAAGAAGGCAGACAGGCCCAGCCTTACCATTGCATTTGCTTCTGAATTGGGCCTCTGCAGAGTTTCTTCTATCAGGGAGAATACAAATGAGGGGTCCGCAGGGCAGAGAGGCTCTTGACTTGATTTGGGTGTCCAGGTGTGCCCTGGAAAGCTGCTCCTGGTGGGTGGTAGGAAGCAGTGGGTGAAGGGATTTGCCTCGCTGCAGGTGCTCTCTGTGGGGCTCACTTGGCAGCCAGAGGGCTTCCTGGAGGAAGGAAGAGCAGGCCCAGGACAGAAGCCAGGGGAAAGGAAAGCAAAACAAAAGCACACTGCGTGGGGGGGGGAGGGAGGCTCTCCTCACAAGGCTGCTTGGCTCTTGCTGAATCTCCTGGGGTGTTCCCAAAATTTCCCACCTGGCCCTTTCTGAAGCAGTACAAAACAACAGTATGTACAGTTCTTGTAGGGCTCCAAAAGGCTTCAGTGGAAGTCTTGTCAAACAGACCTTTTCACGCTAAGGGAAGTGTTATATATGGGCTTGGATGTTTGCATTGTCCCCTAAGAGAGCCAAGTCTCCATGCATAGTCTTCGATCCAGAACTAGATCTTCCCTGCTGCCTTTTGAGCCTTCAATTTGGGAAAGATCTGGAACACGTCTCAGTCGACATGATTCTCTCATTCTGATGCAGTTTGACTTGTGTTCACTGTCCCGGCTTTTTGTTTTTACATAACCAGAGCTCTCTTTGCCTGGTCCTCATTCTTTGGTTTTGGACATCACCCCATTTGACAGTGGGAAACCGAGGCACAGGACTGCTTCTCAGTGACGCCGCCATCTACCTTTAGAGGAGGGTCACTCGGTTTGCAGGAGCCTAACTCATGGCACAGACTGGAAGTTCTTCCTTCTCTTAGCCTGGTTGGTTTGCAGGGTCTGGGCTGGACGAGAGGTCACCCAAGTGAAGATTCATAGAAGGCCAGAGTCTGCCTTAGGGAGCCTCACAGCCATGGGAGAGGTGAGGAAGGCAGGGCAAAGCCAGGGACCGGTGGCAGCTCTGTGGCCCCCTAGAGAGAGAGAGCTCCAGTGGGTCTTAGAGAGTAGGTACAATAGTCTTTGTCAAAATGTAAAAGTAAAGTAAGGAGTGAAAGACATCCAGCCTTTTGTATTATTTATATTTTGGGGTTCTGAAAGGTCTAACCAGGGAGGTCAGGAGAAGCCTGGAGGGAAGCTGAGTAGACAGAAGGGCTGTCACTGGGGGATGATGTCGTTGGACATTCCCTTGAACTTCCCAGCCAAAGGAAGAAGACACAGTGGGGCACAGGGGTGGTTATGAGATGTCAGGCTGGAAAAAGACAGGCCCAATATAGCAACATTTTTAAATAAAGACTAAAGTAATTTTAGTGTTGCCAACAAACAAAGGCTGGAGGTGAAGGGGAAGGAGTGGAGGGACCTACCAAGCTCCCCATACTGTCTTGCTCAAGGACCAACTCCTCCAGACAGTCCTCTGTCCCCACCCCACCCAGCCTGGGGCCTGCCTCTGCCATGGCCTTTGTGACACTGGGCTCTCTGGTCTTTTCCCCAGCCTGTCTCCAGTACTGGCCCAGGGGCTCCCTTAGGACAGGGATCAGCTCCTGTGAGGCTAGAACGGAGGAGGTATTGATGAACGAAGGAATGGCTTGAATAAATGAGTAGGTGAGTGGTGAGGCCGTGTTAAGATGAGGATTGGAAGAGAAAGGAAGCCAGTCCATTTGGGGAAAGCTAGGGACTGGCCCCCAGACCTATGTGGAGTCGAGGAAAAACCACAGGGAAGGAGCAGGCTCTGGACCAGAACTCAAAGCCATGGCTGGCCCACCTCTGAGCTAATTCCACACCCCTCCACAAAGTCATCTTAAAAGAAAGAAATCCGATTTGCCTCAGAAACTGCCGACTTCAATCAGTGCAATCTTAGCATCTTTTTAGAAGAAGAAAAAGCCTTTTGTGGTTCAGGATTAAAAGGCAGGTTTGTCCCTGCCATGACCTTGCAAGTGTAAAGTTCGAAAGTTCATGCCTTATGAAATCTTTGCATCAGTTTCCCCAAAGGAGAAAAAAGTTAAAAATGAGCTTTATTAATCCATTTTCTCGATGTCAAAGAGATTGATCTGTAGTGAACACAGCCCCTTTGGCATGCTAGCTACCCTGGATTCCAGGCTGACCCTGTGACCTGCATTCTGTATATTTTTAGTAGACTTAGGCTTCCAGGAGCGTTCTTGATACCTCAGAGTGAATAAAGGTTTCATTTAGATCACATTTTTTTTCCTTGTAAGCACAGGTTAGTCTCTTTCCCATAGTCCAAGAACTGCAAAGATTTTTCATTGATTAAGAAGACAGTAAATTCACAGATGCGTTATCCCCTCCGGACCCCACCTCCTCTCACGTCCAGGATGTACAACCCTAAAACACCACTAGGTGGCAGTAGAGCCCCTTTGACCACTCCATGGGGTGCTGGGGTGAGGATGCTGCCTGCAGGAGGGAGAGCAATTTGAACCCAAGGTCAGGTCCCCTAAGTGAGTGGAAATGGAGTGAATGTTGACACTTCCTATATGTAGAGCTGAAGTCATGGGGTTTAGGGTCCTCAGTCATCTGTGGAAGCACCTTGGAGCTGGACTTTGCCCAAACAGGATTTGCCAAACTACAGCTGAGAACAGAGAGAGCTGAACAAAGAAGTGGGGTGTGTCTGAAAACTAGCCCCTGGCTCCCACCTGGTGAGGAAGCTGACGTCATCTAGGCAGCCCTGCCCATGTAGCATGGCATAAGGGAGACTCAGACTGGTGGCCAGTTCCCAATACTGAGGACTCTCAAGATGGGGGAGGGTGTCTCATGGCCACTTGGTCCAGCATCACCCACCCCTCTCTTGAGTCAGGCTTGAACCCAAGGCACCCCTTTAGAGAAGTGTGGCCAACGCCCTAACCCACCTCCCACCCCCGCC